TGTTAACAAATCTATCATAATACATACAAAAATCAAGAAAACAAACAAGTAAAAATATCAACAAATATTATATAATTTAATAATAAGCAAATTACAAATATTCCAGTTAAAAGAATTCACAATTACATGCTCTTAGTATCCAACAAGAAATTTCAAAGACAGGAGGTCCAATAGAGTACGACTTGTGGAGATTTGCAAGTTCAATTATTAGAAGAGTATATAGCATTCTCCTTTGATTATAGACTTTTTAATTTGTAATATGTCTTTTTGCTGCTAACAATTCATGTATCATGGTTTCATATAATCTAAATAAAATATGTTATTTTCCTTTTAAACATTTTCCTTTTCTTTTCTTACATTTTCCTTACATTCAAGAGATAAATCATGTCTGCAAGTGACAGTCAATTACATAACAATTGAATTAAACACAAAACATTTACAAAATGACCTACGAAAATTACAGCGCAATGTGTAAAAAACAAATCCGTCCGCGCATTGCGCGGGTTCACACCTAGTATTTATAATTTAATCATTTAAAACACCATAAAAAATACAATAAAAGTCTCCTGCGGCGAAACGCGAGTATCCAACCTAGTAATTTTTAAAAATAAACAAAATTATCATTAATAAAAAAAGTATAAGAAAAGTGCTGATGAAAGTGTCGATAGTGTTGAACTCAAGACCTTCTATTACATTGAAGTCCATTTTAACCAATGTGCTAAAGGGAAATATTGGGATATGTGGCCTAAATTTTTTCTCTTATATTATGTGGCCTAATTAAGTATTTTAGTGGCCTTATGGTAGGGCCGGCCTGGCTAAACATCCTAACCATATAGGGCCATATTAATTAATAGTTTTCAGTGTTTTACTTTAATTATAAATTAGGTTTTCAACTCCCCAGTTTCCATCTTTCCTTTTAGAGTTTACCACTCTTCATAGCTTTTTGAACTTTCTTTAGTTTAGGGTCTTGCTCCCTGAGTTCCAGAGTCTGTTTTTCGTTTTTTGCATTAAGGTTATGATTAAGTTGTATGAAGACCTATATAAGAGAATCACCATTGTACAACTCTATGTAGAGCTCTTAACAGAGAAAATATTATTAATAATAATAATAATAATAATAATAATAATATGGTGTGACATGTGGCGAGCCTGAACTAGAACCGGTTATCTGACTCAGGCTCACCACATGTCATAACCATTGATTTATTTATTTTTTCTGGAGAGTGATATTTCTTAATAATAAAATAATTCTTTTAAATGATACATTTATGAGCTCTACATATAACTGTGCAATGCTAATGTTCTAAAAGTCTTTATCAACTTGCAAGAATTAACCTTAACCTCCAAAGAGAGTTTATGCTTAAGAGGAAGCTTAGACCAAATCTTCTATCTGTTTCATACGTGAATAAAGGTTAGGTTCATATTATTGATCAAGTCTTACTTGCCGTCAAATACGTCACACTAAAAACCTTGTTATCGGTTGAAAGAGAAATGGTTAAAAACCTTGACTATGAAAGGGAAAAATGCAAGGAAGGTTATTTTCACGACATTGTAGTTATATTGTTATGCAAACTCGAACTTTTCCCCCGAATTTTATTTCGAATTATACCACAAATATCTTAGGCCCAACCCTGAATATCTGTAACATAATTTGGGGAGGAAACAAAATTTCGTATGGAACAACAAAGAAAAAGAAAAAAGAGAAAAAAAAAATCCAAGATGGAGAGAAGGACATGCAAGAGAGTATATAGCTAACATGAAACCTACCAAACAATCCTCCGTTCCTCTTCTAACAGCCATTCCCTTTACCTACCCCATTTCTCTTTCCTTCTTCTCACTTCCCTACTTATTTAATTCTTCTTCCTTCATCACCTACCCACACATTTCTATAAATTTACATATCTAAGTATATAAAATAAAAGGAATAAATCAAAGAAACGCATTATTTTGCAAACAAGAAACTGTTTATCATTCTTTTTTACAAGATAATCTTCATTACATCATAATGATAACTGCAGCTCTACACGAACCTCAGATTCACAAACCGGCAGATACTTCTTCAACCGTCGTCTCCGACAATGCGCCTCCTACGCCTCGAATATTCCGATCAAAGCTCCCGGACATTGACATTCCCAACCACCTCCCTCTCCATACTTACTGCTTCGAAAAAATTTCCTCTGACTCGGACAAGCCTTGTCTAATCGTGGGATCCACCGGGAAAAGCTACACATACAGCGAGACTCACCTCACCTGCCGGAGAGTCGCTTCCGGATTGTACAAAATGGGAATCAGAAAAGGTGACGTCATCATGATCCTCCTTCAAAACTCCGCCGAATTTGTTTTCTCATTCATGGGTGCTTCCATGATCGGTGCCGTCTCCACAACGGCAAATCCTTTCTACACTTCTCAAGAGATTTACAAACAGCTCAAATCTTCCGGGGCTAAGCTCATCATCACTCACTCTCATGACGTCGAAAAATTGAGAAACTTTGACGACAAAACCAAACTCGGAGAAGACCTCACGGTGATCACCACGGACGAGCCAACGCCGGAGAATTGTCTCCCATTCTCCGCACTCACTGAGGAGACAAACCCACAAGAAAGATCAGAATCTGTTGACGTCGGCGGTGATGATGCGGCGGCACTTCCTTTTTCTTCTGGCACGACGGGGTTACCAAAAGGAGTTGTTTTGACACACAAGAGCTTAATCACGAGCGTTGCGCAACAAGTAGATGGAGATAACCCAAATATTTACCTGACATCAAACGACGTCGTACTATGCGTTTTGCCTCTTTTCCACATCTACTCTCTCAATAGCGTTCTTCTCAATTCCTTACGAGCCGGTACTTTTTCTCATAATCTTTTAGTTTACAACTCTCTTTAATCCGTTTTATAAAATATTGTGTGGCTAAACGCGCAAAACTTAACAAACAATTATTTAAATCGCTAAAACATCTTATAAAATGAATCACATATCTTGTAGTTAACGTGAAACGACTTTTAAGTTTTAACTAATAAATAAATTAAAAATATAAATTAGCTTCAACATTTTTTGTTTTTAAATCACTAAAATCTTATCAAACGAAACAGATTGCCATAATTTAACTTTAAACGAATTTATTTTTTTGAACAAATTGAAGCTTTGTCTTTAAAATAATTTTTACTAATAACTAAACTTAAGTATAGGTGCGACGGTTCTTCTGATGCACAAATTTGAGATCGGGGCATTGTTGGATCTAATCCAGAGACACAGAGTGACAATAGCAGCTCTTGTTCCGCCTCTTGTTATCACTTTGGCGAAGAACCCTACCGTTAACTCTTACGACCTTTCTTCCGTAAGATTGGTTCTCTCCGGTGCAGCTCCCTTGGGGAAAGATCTTCAAGATAATCTACGTCGTCGCCTCCCTCAAGCCGTTCTTGGTCAGGTACGTCCTATTGTTCTTTCCTCTCTTTTAAAAACTTTTACTCTTTGATTATCCAATTTCAAACCCTTCTTATTTCGCGGGAACCATTTCGTAATGAATTTTTTATTTTTTGAAGTCGAGCAAGTATTTTAAGCCAATTTTTATTATATCTCCACTACCGATATCATTCTCAAATATCTACTAATTTTGATTAATTAATCAAATCATAAGTAAATATTAAAAAAAAAAATTAATGGAATACACGGGAAGAGAGTGAGGAGTGAGTTGCGTCTAGCTATTCGGGCATAATTCCGGTTACGTAGCGTACTGTCCATCTGCTCCTAAGCTAATTTCGCATTGCATTACTCTCCTTTTTCTAATCTTTTTGTCTTCTTTTAATTATCGATTTATTTTAATAAAACAGATATAGTTTAGGTTTTGACAAACAAACAAAGTAAAAAAAACGGATGTGATTTAGGTCGCCGCTTTAATAGATACACTGCAACTTTTTTTTTGTTTTGTTCAAAAGATACACTGCAACTAATTTCAAGAAAACAATCCGATATTATTGACACATCAATCTGTTTACATATTATTTCAGTTTGATAGTACGATTTTTCTTGCGTTAGTAACCACTTCGACACTATACTCCAGATGCTCTACGTTCTTTAATTCTGTTTTGGTTTTTTAAATGACTTCCCTTTTAGATGCTGATTTAATTTTTCATCCAAAATTTTATAGAAATAAATTTTATTAGTTTTGAGAGCTGCCTCAAATTTAAATCCTCTAGTGTTTATTTAAACAAGAGAAGCAGTACTACTAGCATTAATTATTTTCTTGCTACGATTAAATATAAAGTAGATACGGGTCTTGAGAGATTACAACACTGTCATGTGACGTGGTCTCCTTTCTAACACACACATTCACACTCATACACACACGACACACTAAACACACACATATAAATAAATTCAGTAACATAAATGACGGATCCCTTTAACCCAAGAAAACAATCTTTAAGAGATAGTAATATGCAAAATGTTGTATACGAAAAGCTATTAATATGATAATGTATTTTTACAGCATAAAGTAAGTTCCTACAACCTATTAACAAAAAAAAGAGTTTATGTAACGTAGGAGTTAAATGAAAATAACCTCTTTAACAAAAAAAAAAATGAAAATAACCTAAAATATTTTAATAATGTACCTTTATATACGTAAATATAAATATATTTATTGGAAAAGCCTCGTATAGTTAATAGTTTAATTTAATCTTTGTGAATCAGTACGATAGGGCCAAGTGTTTTTAGATGGAACTGGTGAGATAATTATAGTAACCGTTGGATTATGAAAAAACAGGGATATGGTATGACGGAGGCAGGGCCAGTCATGTCAATGAGTCTTGGGTTTGCTAAAGAACCATTCCCGACAAAATCAGGCTCTTGTGGGACTGTGGTTCGAAACGCAGAGCTTAAAGTGGTTCACCTTGAGACACGTCTCTCACTTGGCGTCAACCAACCTGGTGAGATTTGTATCCGTGGTCAACAGATCATGAAAGGTTCGTTTTTTCCCCTGTTTTATTCACATTTTGTTGTTGTTTGTTTATTTTGGGCGAATAAGTTTGTGACAATGGAATTAAACAGCCTTAATTAAAAATAAATTCATCTTTTGAATCTAAAAGACTGTACTTAATAACAAAACAAAAGAACACAATGACGTTATTGGCCAGATGGTTGCCCTTCTGCAAAAAGAAAAAAACAAAACAAAACAAAAAAATTCAATTTAATGGAGAATTCTTAAAAATGCCACCATTTTTATTTTCATCATAAAATATTCAATACTATAATATTCAAAAATTATGTGGAGAAAAAATATATAATGTTAATATTTTCCATTTTTTTGGTAAACATAAGAGAGAACACATTTGTTTATATTTTTAAAGAGAAAATGCATTGAAATAATACATAATTTATTGTATATATGAAAACATTTAGTGTGAATTAACAACATTAAAATTTGAATTATATAAATATATTGTCTCCCTTAGCAAAACACAAAAAAAAGTAATCAAAATATATACTCCTAGACTCCTAGTATGGAAATGTTGGCAACCATAAACTTTTTGGGGAAAGAGAAAATAAATCTTGGAGGTCCAAGTGTATAATAAAGATCGCAATTATTTCGACCGAATTACGTTTGACAATTGAATATGTAACATAAATGTTTAGCGAGCTGATCGGTGATCACGAATTACGTTTAACACAAAAATGTTTAACGAGCTTTTGGCGCGCAGAGTACTTGAACGATCCAGAAGCCACGTCGGCAACAATAGACGAAGAAGGTTGGCTTCACACAGGTGACATTGGGTATGTGGATGAAGATGATGAGATCTTCATTGTTGATAGACTCAAAGAGGTCATCAAGTTCAAGGGCTTTCAGGCAAGTCCATTCTATTATTAATTTAGTTTTTTTTTTTTCAATATTACGACAACTTGACTTTAACAATAGCTAATCACCCTCTTAAATTATATATAGTTTTTTTTTTGGGAGAAAATATATATATATATATATATTTTTTTTTTTTATTTTTGTGAATCATACATAGAGTTAGGGCATCTCCAACAAGCCCTCAAAATTTGAGGAGAGCAAAACCTCATTTTAAGGATTTGAGGGTAGTTTGCTCCAACAATGAATCCTCAAAAAAATCTTTAAAAGTTGTTTAATTTGCAATATAGTCCTTAATATTAACAAACATTACTAATGATAATAAAAATTCATAAATAAATTTAAAACACATTTGATATATAATTATTTATTATACTATTAGACAACACACCATATTTCACAATAATAGTGATATAATAATAAAATTACATATATAATAATGTAAAATATGAAATATTTTGGTACTATTTGTAAAATATGTAATATTTATGTGTTATGTAATTTGCTTTAATTTGTGTTAAGTTTCTTTAATCTATTTTTTATTTTTGTGTAAACTTTTTAAATGTATTTTCTTTTGAGTGAACTTTGGTTTTTAGGTAACATTTATTCTATTTTATTTTTATATGTTTAATTTTGTTCAAACTAAAGTTTAGTATAACTAATTGTGAAAAACCATAAATATAAGGACCAAATAGAAAGAGAAAATAAGTTTTGAGGTTTTGAATAGTGAAACCTCAAAATTTGAGGATTTGAGGGTTTGTTGGAATGTTCAAAACCTCAAAATTTGAGGATTTGAGGGCTTGTTGGAGATGCCCTTAGAGAGTTTTTTTCCCTTCTTAGGTGGGTATCCACCTCAGCAGCTTTAACATTATTAATTTATATATACTCAATGTATAAAAATGAAATTTAAATCAGATACAAAAATGTAACAAAATAAATAGAAAAAATAAAGAAATTTAATTATATCTCATTAAGATTATAATTTTAGATACAATTTGTATTTAGATTAATCATATTTAAAAAGCTGAATGCATTTGCACTGATGTATTATGAAATACAAAAATAATTACTCTTTATGTAATTTACATTGTTAAAAAATATAATATGTAGCAAAGATAAATTTAAAAGTTGAGATTTTATAAAGTAAGTAAGATTATGTTTAAAGTCTGATGACGAATGGCGGAAGAACAGGTCCCTCCGGCTGAGCTAGAGGCTTTGCTTATTAATCACCATTCAATTGCGGATGCTGCTGTTGTTCCGTAAGTATCACACATTCACACTATACATATGCATATTTGAGTCATAAGCGTAAGTGTTTTTTTTGTTAGTGTAAACGAAATCGTTTTCTTGTGAAGGCAAAGCGATGAAGTCGCTGGTGAAGTTCCGGTGGCCTTCGTGGTACGATCCAATGGAAAGGAGATCACCGATGAAGATATAAAAGAATATATAGCCAAACAGGTACACTGACTTACTTGCTCTTTCTTATTTTGGTTTGAAAAAATTTGATAGTATAAAGTTACAAACATGTGCCCATGACTAGATTAGCCGTATCTAAAAAGACTCAATTTTTATTTTTTTATTAAAGGCTTTCTACAAAGACCCAAAATACTTGTTCCAAATTCGTAAGACCCACTTTATAAAAATATAAGTTTTGAGCTTTGAGAAAAAAAATATGAACTATAAGGAAAAGTATTTTATAGTTTTTCATTTGTTTTTGTTTTACTCTTTGTATGTCCAAAATAGAGTTTTTGGGTCCATTTTTTGGGTATTTCTCATTTTTGAATAGTAAAATGTTGAATCTGTAAAAGGTTCCAAATCAATGTTTCATATTCGGTCTTGCATGTGCCTATTGCGGCTTTACCTAAAAACTACTAAAATCAAAGAAATCAAGAGCAAACGATTTTGTTATATACATAAATTCCAGTATGAGAACTACTAAAAGATCTCAATGAAATTGAGTAAGCGAACGTCATTGATTAAGTAATTTAAGTTATTAAGTCCACGTGCTTGTATACTATTTTTTGTGGTAAAAACGTGGTTGTATACTTGATCGTTTTTTTTGGGTGCAAATACTTGATTGTATACTTGATCGTTTGTTATCAGATTTTCTTAAAGATGGACTGAATAAATAACTGATGGATTGATTTGTAGGTGGTGTTCTACAAGAGATTGCACAAGGTCTTCTTTGTTCCTTCAATTCCCAAATCTCCTTCTGGAAAAATTCTGAGAAAGGATCTCAAAGCTAAACTTTGTTGAACGTATTTTTTTATATGAAGATTTCATTGACCAAACATTCTATTGTATCCATACTACTATTGTCTTTTTTTTAGATCCTTTGTCGCATCAAATGTTGAAACTAAGAAGAGTGTTAATTAATTGAATTATTATGGATTAGTTTATTTCAATGATGTCTGTCTTTTTTCCACAAAGAGAATGAAAATATGAAAAAGGATATCATTCTTATTAAAAAAAATATATATATACAAAATGAAGAAAGTAAATGATCATACTAAAATAGATTATTTGCACACTTGATGACAGTAGAAATGACGATATTAAGATAATACTTAAGAATAGTATAAATAAAAGGCGTGGAGATGGGCGACTCTAGGGTTTCGGGCGACTCTAGGGTTTTGGGGGCTAGGGTTGAGGATCAACACATGGAAGACGTGGGGGAGAAAGGGAGACCACCGGGCCAAGCCACATGATCCGCTGAGTGTGTCGTGGGCGCACAAGTGGTGGGTAGGGGGTAGGCCGTTTCCCGAAGAAGTGGTGGATAAGGCATTCGTCGAAGCGAGACTTTCTTTGGAATTCCCGGATGGAGATGATGGAGAACCAGTGATAACGATAGGGGAGGAGGTGTTGACGGCTATGAATGGGATGTGGAAGAAGTGCATGATAGTGAAGGTACTAGGCCGGAGTGTTCCGATCGCGGTTATGAGCAGGAAACTAAAGAAGATGTGGAAACCTCGAGGGGAGATGTATGTCATGGATTTACCCCGCCAGTTCTTCATGGTTCGGTTTGGAATGGAGGAGGAATATATGGCAGCACTAACGGGAGGACCTTGGAAAGCGTTTGAGAGTTTGCTTTTGGTCCAAGCGGGGTCACCTGAGTTCGATCCGTTGAATAGTGAGATTGAGACAACGCCAGTTTGGGTGAGATTATCGAATATTCCGGTGACTTTCTATTATAAGGCTATTTTAATGGGTATAGCGCGGGGACTTGGTAAACCGATAAAGGTTGATGCCACGACACTGAACTTTGAACGGGCTAGATTCGCGCGGGTGTGTGTGGAGGTGAATCTAAAGAAACCATTGAAGGGTATGGTGATGATCAATGGAGAGAGATATTTTGTGTCGTACGAGGGGCTAACTTATATTTGTTCATTGTGTGGCCTCTATGGGCATTTAGTTCATACTTGTTCGAAGAGAGTTCGTGAAAAATGCTACTCCACCGGTGAGGCAAGTTAATCCGGTGCGTGAGAGGGGAACTGAGAGTGCTCCGGTGGAGGAGGGGTTTACTCAGATCCGGCGTGGTCGTCGTCAACCGATGGAGGAGGTAGATCAGAACAGAATTGGAAATCAGTCACAGGATTTGAGGAAGAGTAGAGATTTGCCGAATATTACGTTGACTAACAGTTTTGGAAGTCTTGAAGAGAATATTGAGGCAGGTGAGATAAGGGAAGTACCAGATATGAACGTGAATAGCGGGCTACCAAATCACGTGAGATTGTGGGTATAATGAAGAATAATGGCGGGAGTGTGGATAAGGAGAATTTGCATCCAGTGTTTGGAGTAGAACAAAACATGGGTGTGAAGACGAGTAATGGGCCTGTTTTTGGGTCAGGATCGAGCCATAACTCGGGTAACAGCCGAGTGGGCTTGAGGAGTAAACGAAAAGGGAAGGGAAGGGCGTGGAGTTGGGCCGACCCACGAAGAGTAATCTGAGTAGGCCCACCAGAGGGCTAGTGTTTGGGACGGCGAAAGGTGAGGTTGAACTTTCTGTGAGTGGTAAACGCCTTCGAGTCGAACAAGGCCTGATGATAGGATTTGTGGGTGATATGAAATGATGTAAGTGATATGAGGTGGAATGCAAACAGTGGTGAATAAAGATGAGATGGTATGGTGCAATCACAATCAATCAATTCCTCTTAACCATCATAGTCGATGTAGTATAAGAGGTTATCAATCCAAAGGGTTTGTTGCTACTCTTTAGAATTTATGCAAACACAAGGAAGTCAAGCAGACAGTAAAGATGATGGAAGTAACTCTAGCAACCTAATGAAATGAAATGCAATGCAGAAAGTAAAGAAAGCAGTAAATGAAAGCAGCTCGACCAGAGCTCGATCGAGTGGAAACAGAGTAACTGAGCTCGATCGAGTTGAGGGTCGAGTTAGCGTAAAAACAGAGGAAAAGCGATAAAGATGCGAACTTTAATACGATAATGCGAAGGCTAGGGTCTAAGACAGGGTCTTGCGACTAGGGGAAGACTATACTTAATCAATCTTGCTCATTAACCACTTGTACTCAAGCTATCTCTTGGTATTGAGCTTCTCAAGCCTAGCTAACCCTTTCCCAAGGTGAAAGCTATCATCTAAGGCAAGATCTCAGAAACAGGGGGTTAGCCAGTGAGAATCAAGCCTTAGAGGCAGTAGGATCATTGCTCAAACTAACCCATCCAACACCTATAAACTCCATTTCGAGAGCAAGCATATTGGAGCTCTTAGTGGACCTTTTCAAGCGATTTCCCAACATTCCCATGAGGAAAATCGCCTAGACTCATACATGCCATGGGATAGTGGTCATGTAGCCTTAAGGCTTGTCCAAAAGAGAGAGATTTTAGATTAAGAACATAAAGCAAGAGATTAAGCATAAGGATCCTCTAGTCTAGCCCATCTTACCCTAGATAGAACTACTCACTACACATGATGAAATACACAATCAAATGCAATGAAAGAGACATATATGAAAGAGGGAATGAAACTAAAGAACTTTTATTGAAATAAGCAAGTGCAAATACAGAAAGATAAGGCCTAGATCTAAGGTTCAAGAGCAAGAGCTCAAGAACACAAAGAGAGGCTTAGGTTTTGCAAAAAGTAAATACAAATTAAAGAAAAGCAAAACGAAAATAAGCTAAAGATTGTTGTCTTTTTCGTGGCTACAAGCCTTTAAATACAAGAAGGATTAGGTTTAGGGTCAAAGGGGAGTCAAAGGGGAAGCAACATTTTTCGGGTTTGACCATTGACTCCGCAGCTCGATCGAGTTGGAACTTGGCCGGTCGAGTTGAGGAACTCGACCGGTTGGTCGAGTAGATGGGTCGAGCTGACTTCAAGACGGCTTCCTTCTTCATCCTAAGCGTGTGCAGTTGAGCTGAATCCATGCACCAAGTCCTTCCTTGCTCCTCACGTCCCAATTGCTCCAAAGTGCTCCAAAAAGACCTATTCAAGGATCAAACATGCACATGTATGCAAATGCAACCTAAAACTACAATGAATGCATAAGAAGGGAAAAGGAACAAGATATGATGCTAATGGATGCTAAAACTATGCAAAAGATGCATAAAAGATGTACTAAAACTATGCAAAATGCAAGTACATCAACACCCCCAAACTTGACATTTACTTGCCCTCAAGCAAACAAATAGAACAAGAAAGAGATGAGGTTTTTTTCCCATGTTTTTTTTGTTGTGCCGGTCGGTTTCGGAACTCCGTCTTTAACCACCACACACAGCTCTTGCGTCTCTAAGATGGCCTTCATCTTCTTACACCAGAAAACTCTATCCATCACCATGAGTATCACTTTTTACAACCGTTGCAACCTGGTCCTTGTGCCATGATCTATGTTTTTGTTTGAATTTTCTCTTAGCGGAATTATTGCTTATTATTGCTTCTCTTTGTGTTTCAGTTGGCCCTTGAATAATAAGAGGCTCTAATACCAAATTGGTTTTTTATGCTATGTATCATGGGATGCCATTGCTTCTTGTACAAGGCATAAACGTGGAAGAGAAAAGAAAACAGAATGTAAAATCAGGAAAACTTCTCTTTATCTCGACAATTTTTACAACTACATGTCACTAACTTATATAGTGATTTTACATGATTGAGCGTAACCTTTCGTAATGGTACGCGACTGTTCATATCTGAATAACTACCCAAACTAAAGTCACAACTAAGTCACAACTGTTACATACACGATACACCTTTCGATATAACATTATGATATTACAAGACTTAATCATGGCCTCAATTTTCTAACATACTTAAATGTGTTTGTAAGTAGTGTAGTAAGTAATAGACGTGGATTCTACAATTTGGAAACGGGACTTTTACTACAATGTCAACAACATTATGTCAGACAAGCGACTCCATACTTATTTTCGACAACATCCATTATCCCAAATCCCTAATATACTAAAGCACAAGTCACTCGCCCAATGGCAGAGTGATATGTGTCAAAATTAAGGAAAAAAAAAACGCTTAGCAGTTAATCATAATTATGTTTAATGTTAATCAAATTTAAAAGAAAACGTGTTAAATATATTTCACAAAAAGCAAATAAATAATGGGTTATAAATGGTGAAAGCTTACCACTATCACGAGATCGTATAGAAACTTAAACTGTCAATCAGAAACTGTTTGAATCTAATCATCTCCTATATAGTATGTATTCCCAGATCATTTGTAAGTTTCGAAATTTTCATCTTTTTTTCCCTTCCTGTTTTCGTTTTCGTTCTTCGTCTCTTTCACTGTTTCTGCTTCCATTTATAATCAGGTTTTTGAGTAAACGTTTTTTATTTCCTTCGATTGAGCAGTAAAAATTGGTCAAATTTCATGTTTATCGTTTGATTTCTCGCTCAGAACCATATTTCCATCTCATCTTTCCAATCAACGATTTTCAGTAATAGTTTTTCAGCTTCGTATGCCGTTTTCAAATAATTCATTGAGAAATTAATTATTTAGAACTAATTTAAGTGGTTACGTTTCTGACATTCGATTTTTTCTTTGTAGGAAAGTACATGTGTTAGTTTTGCAGAGGTTCTAATATTTGAAAAGCAAATTCCTTGGTACTATGTTGGCTGCAATAGATGTTTAGGCAAAGCGTCACCTTATTTTCAATCCGGAGAAAGAAGAAGTCGAGGAAGGGAAGTACTCATGCGACACTTGCAACAAGCAAGAAACCATTACAAGTTTAAGGTACTCAAACTCTACTTATACTTTTTTGTTGTTTTTTTCAGTGAGACATGTATATCTCTTATCTTATTATCCGTTATTTTTCATCAGGTACTGTGTTTATGTGAAAGTGGCCGATCACACTTTTACCACATCTTTCATCTTATTTGATAGGGAAGTAATACAGCTCCTTCATGATTCTGCCTACCAATTGCTTGAACAACAACTGGAGGTCCGATTTCTCTTTTTCATGTTTGTTTCATTACTCTTCTTTGTTTACTCTGCTTAATTTTAGCATCTTTCCTTTCTGTTTTGTGTTTTAGTTTAACCGTCAAGGTGAAATTCCCTCTGAGTTGATTGGTTTAGAAGGGAAGAATATTGTTTGGTTGATTCGTGTACATGGTAACAAGAAACATTTCAGACACTCCAGTTTTAAAGTTGTAAACTCACTGTCGAAGAGGAAATTGTTAGAAACTTTTAAGACAACATCGATGTTGTTGTGAGTATCTCATGCTCTTTCTGGTTTTATCCAAATACCGGAATCTATTTGACGTGTTATCATCTTACGTATTCTTGTGTACTCATTTCAGGATGCATCTCATTCAAAAATGCCGATTGTGTCAAGCACATCTTCAGCATTTCAGGTTTATTTCTTTTCAAGTTAATTTATTTTTGTAGTTACTATAACAAACAGATTATAAAAACTCTTCGGTTATTTCATTGCAGATTGAAATTACTTCTTCTGAAGCTAATAACACTGAAATGCCTATAAGTTCTCCTGTTACGCCAGCTGCCAAAAGACAGCGTGAAGTCATTATACACGAAGAAAGAGCTGAAGAATCTTCGACCAAGAGTGACTCAATAGCAAACTCGGGATGAGCAACCAAAAAATTGATCACCGTCAAGAAGGAAACACAATATGAAAGGAAGTGCAAAGACACTAACAGGAAATAGTCTCTCATATCCTTGCATGATATCATTCGACTCTTAAACACCACATCTTCTTCACTTGTGTAAATCATTTCCACTTCTTTCAGTATTTGTATATTATTTGAACTAGGTGGTTGGCCCGCGCGCCTGCGCAGGCAACAGATGTTTTAGAATTCCAAATCCTTTCAATTAATATTAGATGAACACATTTTCTTTTTAACTACTTTTCATATTTTTGTAATGTGTTTATTTTCCAAAGAATTAATAGCTTAACATTTTGTTAATTTGATATGAACTTATAAACTGTGAAAGATCTAGAAAAAAAAATTAGTTAAATTTTGTAATAGTCATTTTCTTCTCCCTCTTATTCTTTTTCACTGATCCCATCTTTTATTTTTTCTTCCATTTATTTATTCGTTGTCATCATCTTTTTTTTTCCCGCTTCTTCTTTTTCAAATTTTCGTTCTTCAATCATTTCTTGTGTCTTCATATCCTCCAACTTACTATTCTTCTTTTTCTTTCTATTTTTTTATATTCTTTTTACGGATTTTCTTCTTCCTCATTCCCCTCACTCTCTATCTTTATCATCTTCGTCTTTTCTGACATCATCTTATTCTAGTTTTTATTTCTTTCTTATTTGTCTTTTTTTTCTCTTCACATTACATTTCTTCTTCTTTGTTTTATTTTTTCTCTTGAGTTTTCTTCTTCTTCTCGAAGTTTCTCATCTAGATGAAGACGGTTGAAAAGTTCTTTTCCACCGTCTTCTTTTATTCTACTCGTGTTTTTATTTCTTCTTGTCTACGTCTTATATTTCACTTATCAATTCATTCAGTAGTTTAGATTTTCAAGGATTCGTAAAATAGTTTTTATCTTTATATAGTCGAGATCTTTTTAAAATCTAACTAATTTGTGTTGTTATCTTTTGATTATGGTTATACTTTCATTGTTTTATTTTTATTTTTCTATTTGTGAGTATATTTTAAAATGGTAGATATAAATCTATAATCAGTGATTTTTAATTTTGACATACTTTTATAAAATTCAAATTTTTAAAAATGCACCAAAAACTAAACCCTACACCCATCTATACAAACCCTAAACCCAAACTCCATATTATAAACCCCTCTTCCCCCTAATTAAAGAACCTACACCCTAAACCCAAAATCCACATTATAACTCCCTCCTCAACTTCACACCTGAATCTCATATGACAAATTAGTTTTAGATTTGCTTTTATTTTTATTTTATTTATAAATTTTTTTTAAGGGTGAATTGAGGCAATATACATGGATAATCTGACAATTAAAAATTTGGAAAGAAAAGTTGGTAATTAGTTTTTGAGGAGAGAGAATTTTATTTATTTACATAAAATGTCATTGACTCAAAACTGTTTTCTGATGCTATCTGGCGGAGATACTGTTCATCAACCGCACCATAACACTGTTCATCAATAACCGATTACATTATTCATCGCCTGAAACAATATATAATATTAATGATAACATTGTGATTATCATGATAACACTGTGATTACCATGCTAACTAATATTCATTTAGTTTTCATATTGTAAATTTATAGTGTTAACTGTGTTATTGTGATAACAATCGTGCTAACTTGCTAACATTTCATTTAAAATATGAGTTATTCATTAATAAATTTTGTTAATTTTGTTAACGTACAATAATACTAATGATAACATTGTTATTTTCATGATAACACTGTGATTACCATGCTAACTAATATCCAGTTAGTTATCATATTGTAAACTTATAGTGTTAACTGTGTTATTGTGATAACAATTGTGCTAACTTGTTAACATTTCATTTAAAATATGAGTTATTCATTAGTAAATTTTGTTAATTTGTTAACATACAAGTTATCCTATAATATATCACCAAAATTATCGCTAACGTCATGATTACATATTTACTGGTGTTATCATCATCATCTTCACCATTGATAATGAAGGTGGAGGAGAAGAGGTAAAGACCAAATCTGCAGGAGGAAAGAGATGTGCCACCGGTAAAAAACGATGTAGTTACTATCACGGTCATCCCACCATCATCAATCGCCACCACTGCCGTCATCGTTATCAATCGCCACCGTCACCGCCACCGTCATCAAATCGCCACCACCACATATTTATTTCACGATGAAACAGAACAGGGGAAGAAAAAGATAAATCAGGGACGAAATTGTAATTACATTTTAAATAGTATGTGTCAGAAAAGTTATTCAATTTAGTTATTATCCAAGGCTATCTATTGCATTTACTCTTTTTTTAATGGTTGTTTTCTTCTCCTTTTTATTCTTCTCTAGTTATTCTATCTTCTTCTTTTTTCTTCCATTTTTTATTCATTGTTATCATCTTCTTTTTTATGCTTCTTCTTCATCTTCCAATTTTTGTTTTCAATCGGTTCTTATGTTTTTATATCCTCCAACTCAATATTCTTCTTTTTCTTTCTAATTTTCTTTACATTCTATTTCCGATTTTTCTTTTCCCTCATTCCCCCTCTCTCTCTCTATCTTTATCATCTTCGTCTTCTTTGACATCATCTTATATAGTTTTTATTTATCTCTTCTTTGTCTTTTTTTTCTCCACATTCCATTATTTCTTTTTCCTCGTGTTAAATTTTTCTTCTTCCTCTCAAAGTTTCCTATCTTGTTTTCCATCGTCTTCTTTTCTCTTA